ATGTGAGTGAAATACATATGTACCCTTATTTTTAATAATAAAATTACTGAGATGCCCCATCTTTTAACAATAATTGAATTTCTTATATGTCCCAAATTTTTTTAACAAATGAGTAACCCTCGTATTATGAAAAATTGACACAAATAAAAGTACTATTTTGTTTGTGTATATGGTGCGTATTGAGCTGATATTTGTATCACATTTACTTTGTCAATTAAGATTGTAAAATCACAATGCATTTTAGTCACCCCAAACCCAATAAAATTTGGAAATGTTTTCATCAGACCTCTTCAACCAGCAAACATGCAATAATAACAATAAAAGCATAGGTGTGTTTGTTTTATTATGTTGGATAGAATTTTTAAAAAAGTAAGAATTGGATGGTTATTACGAGGTAGGATTTGAAAATTAACAAAAACACCCCTAGGTTTGTTAATTTACTAAACACCCCTGTAATAAACCATTAAAAATTAACAAAACACCCCCACCCACCCATTAAATACCGAGAGCTGGCCACCACCATCGGAGGGTGGTCAGAGTTTTTATATCGGCACACGACCGATTGGATCTAGCCGGTCGTGCTCGATATGGCGTTTTCTAGGAAAATGCCAAATCTATAGCTAGATCTGGCCGTTGACAACCAAATCTAGCAACATTTGGTCGTCAATGATGGCCTCAACATTGGCCGTATCTTGGTCGTTGTTGATGACTAGCTACGGCCAAAGATCTTACAGTTCGTTAACGGTCAGATCTTTGGCCGTAGATATGGCAGGAAAAGGCTAGATTGGTGCACTACCGACTAGATCCAACCGATAGTGTGCCATTATACTAGATTCTAGCTACTTTTCGGTAGTGCTGGCAGGAATCTGGCAAATGTAGGTGGGTGGGGGTGTTTTTGTCAATTTTTAAACTTTTTTTAGGGTGTTTAGTTAAATTAATAAACCTAAGGGGTTTAAAATATAATGGGATTTTCATAATAGGAAAACAAATGTGTATTTTGGGTAGGATAGGGATAGGATAGTGCAAAAATACTGAAACAAATGCATATTAGGTTTGTTAATTTAACTAAACACCCCCTAAAAAAGTTTATAAATTGATAAAAACACCTCCACCCACCCACATTTGCCAGATTCTGGCTGCCGATATTTAATGTGTGGGTGGGGGTGTTTTTGTTGGTTTTCAATGTTTTATTACACGGGTGTTCAGTAAATTAACAAACCTAGAGGGTGTTTTGTTAATTTTTAAATCCTACCTCTTAATAACCATCCAACTCTTACTTTTTCAAAAATCCTATCCAAAATAATAAAACAAACACCCCCTTTGGTATACAATTTTTCACTATTCTATTCCCTATTCTATCCAAAATACTACAATTATTTTCTTATTCTCAAAATATTATTCAACTCATTTTAAACCCCCTAGATTTGTATTCAATGCTTTTTAAACCCCTCAGATTTGTTAATTTAAATAAACACCCACCAAATTTTTTTTAGAAATTGACAAAAACAACCCAGTAACCCACATTTGCCAGATTCTAGCCACCACTGTCAGAAGTTGGATAAAATCTAGTATAATGGCATACTACCGGTTGGATTTGGCTAGTAGTGCTCCTATCTAGCATTTTCTGGCCAGATCCATGGTGGATCTAGCCAGAAAAGACTAGATCTACGACCGAAGATCTGGCCGTAGCCAGTCGTCAATGACGGCCATATATTTGGTCGTCAATGCGGCCATATCTAACTGTTAATGGCCAGATCTAGCCGTAAATCTAGCCTTTTTCGGCCAGATCCACCATGGATCAGGCTGGAAAATGCCATATCGATGCACGACTGACCAAATCCAGCTGATCGTGTACCGATACAGTAACTCTGGCCACCCTCCAATGGTGGTGGCCGGTTGTCGGTATTTAATGGGTGGGTGGGGGTGTTTTTGTTAATTTTCAATATTTTATCATAGGGGTGTTTAGTAAATAAAAAAACATAGAGGGTATTTTTGTTAATTTCCAAATCCTACATTTTTAATAATCACCCAATTTTACTTTTTTCAAAATATAATTCTAAAAGTATCATAATAATGAACCAATTGCACCCGAGTCCGTTGGCACAATTTTTAACTCTATCATATTCCTCTATCCTATCCTAAAAACCTAAAAATACATTTGTTTTAATATTCTTTAAAATTCAATATTATTCTACTCAACTCAAAACATTAACAATCACATTTATCAATAAAAGTTTTAAAATTAACAAAAACACCCCCACCCACCCAAGCCATTGTCACCTTCCAGCAACCATTGTCGTTGCCATAATGATGCATGACTGACTGGATCTGGTTGATTGTAGATTGATCTGTCTGTTTCCAGCCAGATCTATGGCCAAAGATCTGGCTATTGACGACCAGATCTGGCCATTGACGACGGCCAAACGACAATCAAGATATGGCCATCAACGACGACCAGATTTGGTTGTTTTCGACCAGATCCACTGGCACACGACGAGCTAGATTTAGCCGATCATGCTCCATTTCGATAGATTCCAGCCATCTTCCGGTGGTGGTGGTGGCTGTCAGCAATACATCAATTTATAAACTTTTATTGTAGGGAGTGTTTAGTTAAATTAACAAACCTAGGAGTTAAAAATGATCTTAATATTTTTATAAAATGCTATTCAAAATGTACCAAAAACTTCTCAGAATCCTATCATATTTTCTAAAAATGTTAAATAGCATAGAATGCTATTCTAAATAACTAACCAAACAGAGCCAGTTTCAAGACACTAATGTTGTCTTTTCAGTTTTGTTGTGTTGAATGTGAATACGATGAAAGTCAGTTTCAAGACAATGTTGGACATATTAATAAACTAATAAATATGGGCTCACAACCCAATTTACAAACTTCTCGTAATTGGACAGGCAAAAACTATAATGAGCTGACCAATTACGAACTGAACCCATTTGTGAGTTGTCACGGGATTGTGAGAAAAAATTTATGAGATTGAGTTGTAAATGTAGTATTGTCTTTTTATTTTAGAGTGATGCTATTGGTTACCACATTTCATATTAATAAACATCATGTTTTATATATAATTACAATTTTATCCTTTATAAAAATGGCTGAATAGGATATACAATTTTTTAATCTAAAAATTTTATTTTTTCTTCTAATCATAAACTCTAACGTAATTATATATAAAAAATGAAGTTTATGAATATGAAATATGGTAACCAATAGCATCACTCTAAAATAAAAAGGCAATACTACATTTACAACTAATCTCATAAATTTTTTCTCACAATCCCGTGACAACTAGAGGTGTTCGGTTCTGGGGACCCTGCATTTTTTGAAGGAACCAAAACTGATGGTTCCTTGAAATTTGGAACTGAAACCGATATGTAAAATTCATTACCCCCAAAAGTTTTAAAATGATAAAAAAAACCCTTAAAACTTACAAATACCCCCCCTCCTGGCACTTGTTAACAAAAATAAAATTACAAATTATAAATTTGAAATTCGAAATTCGAAATTCGAAATTACAAACTCCATTACTTTGTAAAAGTAGATTCTCAAAAGTCAAACCAACTTACTTTAAATGTTATGAAATATAAATATAAATGTATTCACATTACTTTTTCTACAAAAGTTTTTATTAACCCCCCTACTCTTTAATTTTATTTTATATTAGTCTCGGTTCCTAGTTCCGGTTCTGATTCCGATTCCTAACTATAGGAACCGAAACCGTACAGTAACAGTTCAAAAAATTTGGAACCAGAACATACTCGTTGATGGTCGATTCTGGGTGAGAACCAGAACCAAATCACGGGTAACTGTCGGTTCTGGTAGGGGTGGAAAAAAAAAACCGAAAACTGGACCAAACCAAAAAACCGGTTCGAAAATTCAGTTTTTTTCCGGTTTCGGTTTGCCACATTTTGTAAACCGAATATTCGGTTTGGTTTCAGTTTTTTGAAATAAAAAAAAAAGTTAACCGAACCAAATTTTTAAACCAGTTTAATGAATAAAAAAATAATTTTATATTTTTCAATTTTTAAAAAAATTATCCCTAGGTCTTCACTAATGCGCATTTTCCAAAATTCAATTTTTTAAAAAATAATTTTATATTTTGCACATTTATAAAAAATTTATCCCTAGGTCTTCACTAATGTAATTTTAAATTATTAATACTTGATGTACATTAAAATTATATGAATTCAAATTATTCAATTACAATAAATATAACTTTGATTCAAGTTAAAAAAAACCCAGAAAAACAAAATGGGCCAAAGTGGAGGGTTTGACTGAATTGGGCCAAACAAATGCAGCACATTATAATTAACCGGTTTAAAATCGATTAACCGAACGGACTTTTCGGTTCGGTTTTAAACCGGTTTATAACCAAAACCAGACCAGTTTCTGTTCAATTTTTTTTTGAAACTGAAAACCAGTTAGGTTCAAGATACCGGTTTTTTGCACTCCTAGGTTCCGGTTCCAATTGGTTCTTTTAAACACCCCTAATGACAACTCACAAATGGGTTCAGTTCGTAATTGATGAGCTCACTATAATTTATGTCCGACTAATTATGAGAAGTTTGTAAATTGGGTTGTGAGCCTATATTTATTAGTTTATTAATATGCCCAACATTAGCGTCTTGAAACTGACTTCATCGTATTGGCTGCTTTTCTCTATCTTACATTGAATTCCATGGAAAACCAGGCCTGCTCTCACTTCCTGGTGACGAGTTCCCAGATAAATACAATCATATGAAGTCAAATATATTAATATTTTGACATCATCGAGGCCGGCTGGATCGTTATCTCTTCAACCTCTCCGTCTCAATGTAATTTTAATTGCGTCTTACTGGGTGAGTGAAGCTATAAGAGGTGACAATATTAAAAAAAATGGCAATGATTTAGTTCTACTTTGCACAAAATGAGAGAAGCACACAATGTATTAGTCTGACATAAAGGAGAAAAGAATGAAAAATTAGTTAAACTACATTTCGTGGCTATGGAGAAGTTTGTGAAAGACTTTAGTGCCGATTTAAAGACTGCAACAGAAGGAGGTCGGAAGAAATTTATAGCGGCTGTTTCAGTAATGAAAACTGCACGACTAAAAGTGGGTCTTAAGAAGCCAAAAGTATTCAAGAACAAGAAGCATTCCAATAAATCATCCAAATCAGACGAGGTTAATTCAAAAACTCATTACTATACATTTTCATTTTTTTTTGAGTTGATTTATAGTTGACATATCACAGGCTATCAGCACAAGAACAAATGAGAGTGAAGACATGATCCAAATTGACCATGTTGAGTCCCCTCCATCGTTTCAGCTTACAATTGATTCTACTGACGATGATGGTGTCAATTTGGAGCCTTCTGAGCAACAGATTAACAAAGATGGCTTGAGTCCAAAGGTCAAATTTTATATATTTATATCCAATTAATGTTTTAAAGTGTATTAATTTTCTGTTTTAGACTCAATCTCTAAGTAGATTTATATATCTGTCTCTTTTTCCACTGGTTTTATCCTCCTATAGAACCCTCATTGACTTGGTTCTTTTACTGACCTTTTAATATACTAATTAATTTTATAATTGGTCTGCAATTACATTTCAGAATACGATGACAGCGGGGATTATTGACCACAATTCTGAAGTTGGTACTTCTTCACTCTCTGAGGAATCCAGGTCTGTAGATGTTGGAGAATTGGAATATGTAGAGAAAAACAATCCAGAGAAAGATCACTCAGCTCAAAAGGTGTCAAAATAGAACATAGGATTAATAGTCTGTTTGTGCATTAAATATATTCTATTCTCTATTATTATCTACCATATATAGTTGTTAAAAATTGGAGTAACAATTAACTTTCCCCCAGAAGTTTAAAAACTAATCACCTACCCCACAAAACCCTAACACCGTCCAAGATTTGTTAAACGAATAAGGTAAGATAGTCTTTTCTTTCCCTCCTCGTTTCCTTTTTCATTTCTCACCATCCTTTCTTTTTCTTGTTTTCCCCCCTCATACTTTCCTCTTTTTTTTTTTTTTTCTTTTTTCTTTCATTCCTTCCTTAATCATGGGATTACCACCAGTAGCGAATTGAACCTCTAGAGTTGGTTCATTTTTATGTTGTTTGGTGGTCATTAAATTTGATTGTTGCTTGTTGTGTGTTTATTCTTTTTTGATAGGTCGGATTATGGTTATTTGGTAGTCCAATTTGTGTGTTTTTTTTAGGGGAAAAGGATTGTGTTTTGTCGCCAGAAAGGGTTATGTTGAGCTACGGTTTTCTGGCTTGAAAGTCTGCAGCCAGCGAGTTGTGGACACACAGTAGCAACAAGTGCGGTGGTGGGGGATAATTTGTTGGCTCTCTAATTCGAGGAAGAGAAAGGCATTCGAAGGTGAGAGTTGGGACATTGGAAAAATAAACGTTACTGTTTAATAAATTACAATGAGATACTTGGCATTTAAATATTCAAATACAAGCAAATAGCCACTAACATCACGTAAACTAGTTGCCCTATTATTTAGGAACCCAATCCTTCAAGTGTGTAGGTGGTCTTCCACTTCTCTTGCCAATAAGCTCTTGCACGTTGTCATGATAGAGAAGAGGAGGCGATTGCAGGTCCGTGGGCTGACTGGCTAAGGGAACGTGGTCTGTATCAGTCCCCACCTCTTGCAGTTCAACCTTGTCCTCAAGGTGTACATCAGCGATATTAGGCAAGGGTGGAGCAGTACCGATTGGAGGTGTGCCGGCAAATGGCTTTAGTAGTGAGACATGGAAAACAGAGTGGATCTTGGAGGATTCCGATAATTGAAGCCGGTAGGCAAAAGATCCAATGCGTTCAATAACGTTGAACGGACCAAAATACCGTCGGGGTAATTTCCAGTGGAGGCGAGTAGCCATTGAGGTCTGGCGTGAGGGCAGAGCTTGACGAGGACCCAATCGGCTATTTGAAACTAGCGATTGTGTCTGAGTTTGTTTGCTTGGTAGACCGTCTGCTTTTGGGCGAACCCTAAATTGTGGCATAAGCGGAAATGATTTCGTGGTTCTGAAGAATAAGGTTTGCTTCTAGGGTGGGAGATGAGCCAGGGATGTAAAATGAAATTGATAGAGGGGGGCGGCCATATAATGCTTAAAATGGGCTCATACCTACGGCAGAGTAGAAGCTGGAGTTGTACCAATATTCGGCGAGGTGAAGGTAACAAAACCAGAGCTTCGGTGTGTCCATCGTAAAGCAGCGAAGATATTGCTGCAAGCAACGATTCAGAATCTCGGTTTGGCCATCAGTTTGTGGATGGTAGGTGGTGCTATATAGCAGCTTAGAACCTCCTTTCTGGAATAGGGACCAGCAGAAGAGACTTGAGGAAAATTTGATCACTATCTATGACTATACTTTTTGGAATGCCATAGAGTTTGGCCACGATGTGTGTGATTTTTCCATCAAGCTTGGTGAGTTGTGAGGTATTAAATCGATCCAAAATCAGTCTTTGTCCAACCTAGCATAAACTCGTCGACATATAGCTCGACCCAACACAAGCTAGTCGCGAATAACTCGAATGATCATTCAATCGATTTCCAGATAACTTCAGATCCCAGATATTACACGAACGATCAAAATAACATCAATCTTTGCGCAATTTTAGCGCCTAATCACGAGAATATTGGAGTTACAGTTCAAATTAATTGTAATCCTTTTATTTTTGTTCTTTCCTTTGGACAAATATTGTATATAAAACCTGTCAAATGAGAGAAAAGGGGTTAGAAATTTTTCATAGAACTCTTATTGTAAGCTCTCATGGCAAATACAAGAACAGTAGATATAGGCTCAAGAGTTTACCTCGCTGAACCACTTTAAAAATCTCATTGTTATTTATTTTATTGCATCTATCATTCACCCATCGCTGATTATCTATGATCACGCCTACATCCATTCCGATTCCACCGAGGTCAATCGGATCTCTTTGGTTGGTGCGAATTTTCGTATCAACAGGCCACATGCTGGAGGAAGGCCTCGGTGATGGTGGAAGCGGTAAAGCAAGTTGGTAGGCCAACGAAATGGGCATATTACTCAGACGATCGATAACAACAAGCATTAAGGATTTGCCGTTGGACAATGGTAAACTGATAATAAAATCCATACTAATGTCGTCCCAAACACGAGAAGGAATTGGTAGATGTTGAAGAAGATGATTATGATTTAGTGTAAGGTATTTGTTTTGTTGTCAAATAAGACATTCCCCAATCCATTTGTGGATATCGAATGACATGCGTGACCAATAAAAGTTGGGTTTGATACGAGCCAAGGTGGGGTCAAACCCAAAATGGCTACCGATCGAGGAGCTGTAGAGTTTGGAAAAGATGGTGAATCAAAGGGGAGAGTTGTCGGGAACGTAAAGGCGGCTGTGATAAAGTAATAACCTATTAGAAGCTAAATAATCGGAGAAGGAGCTAGTACGATTTGTGAGATAAGAAATGAAAGTTTGCAGTTTGGGGTCAATCTTCAAGGCGATTTGGAGTTGAGAAACAAAGTTGGGTAGGTGGGTTGAAAGAGCATTGTACTAGAGCCAGTGGTGGGCCGTGCCGACTGATGGCATGGCACGAAAAAAAGAACGGCACGTGGGCTGGCACAATACAAGACAACAAAATAAAAAAAAAATAATAATAATAATAAAATATTAGTCTATGTTTACAACTAAGATATATTTGAAGATTTTGAAAATTCAGAAATTAATGAAAATGAAGATGTATAATAATTCTTAATCATAATTTCTAAGTTTGTATTTGTAATTTATAATTATAACTTATAAGTAATAAAAAGTGTTGAAATTCAATTAATATTTTAATGTCTCATTATTTTATTATATTTCATAGTGATCATATTTTTTTTAATTAATATAAATACAAAATGTCCCTAAATATAACATATAAAATATTTCTATAATAATTATTAATAATAAATCAAAATTACCATAATTTATAAATATTAAAATAAATTTTTTTTACAAAGCACATGAGCCGGCCCATGGCACGACTCAAGGCACAACACAATATATAGCAGGCCGTGCCGTGGGCTTTCAAATTTGGTGGGTCGACACGGTGCGATAAGGCACGATTTTTTACGGGTCTTGGCACGGCACGCGAGCCTTGAATTTTTAAGCATAGCACGGCCCTCTACATTGTACATAGGCTCAGTGCGTCGAGATAGTATGTTGGCGTCACAATTATTAGATCTTAGCTTATAGATAATCTTATACTAAAAGCCTAAAAGTTTCTGAAGGTAGCGTTTTTGATCCAGAGTAATTTGAATGGATTGTGAAAGCAAATGTTGTAGCGTGCGGTGGTCAGTTCGTAAGGTGAATTCGTGGCCCAATAAGTAATGTCGCCATTTGTGAACAGAGTCAATAATGGCCATCATTTGATGACCATATGTGGTGCGCATATAGGGAAAAAAGCTTGTTGTAGTAAGCAATGGGTGGCCATGTTAGGAGAAGACGACCTCTAAAGCATCACCTGAAGAATCCATATCTAGGAAAAAAAAGGGTTGTAAAATCCGGTAAGGCAAGCACTAGCGTGGTTGTCAAGGCATGTTTCAAAGCTTCAGAGGCTTTGGTAGTGATGGGAGTTCAAACGAAATTGTCTTTACAAATGAGAGATGTCAAAGGCATGGCGAAAGAGGCATAACCTTGGACAAAACGACGGTAGTACTATGTGAGGCCAAGAAAACTACAAAGGGCATGAACTGAGTGTGGTGTTGGCTAAGAACTAATTGCAGAAATTTTATCGGGCTTGACTTCGACGCCTTGGGATGTGATAATGTGGCCAACATAGTGGATGCCGGTAATGGAAAAAGTACACTTAGAAAACTTGATTTTTAGAGACTTTGAGCGGAGTAGTTGGAATACTTGCAGGATATGGTCAATATGAGCTGGCCAAGAATTGTTGTATATCAAGATATCATTGAAGACCACTAGGATGAATTTGTGGAGGAACGGTTTGATGATTGAATTCATAGTGGCATGAAAAGTGGAGGGAGCGTTAGAAAAGTCAAAAAGCAGCACCAAGAACTCAAAATGGCCATTATGAGTGTAGATAGCCAATTTAGGGATGGAATGAGTGTGTACATTGATTTGATGAAAGTTAGAACAAAGATCTAGCTTAGCGAAGAATTTGGAATCGTGCAACTTTTCAACAGTGGGAATAAGAAACCGATCGTGAATGATAACGACATTCAAGGAGCAATAGTCAAGACAAAAACGCCAACTACCATCTTTTTTCTTCAGCAATAGAACAAGGGAACTATAAGGGCTAATACTAGGATGAATGATACCGTCAAAGAGTATAAAGGAGATGAGTCAGTCAATTTGCCCTTCTGAAAGTGAGGGTAACAATAGGGACGAACATTAATAGGGTAGCTTCAGGATAGGTATGAATGTGATGATCTTAGGCACGGGACAGCGGGAGGCCTTTTGAAGCATCAAACAAATCAACAAATGTGCGCAAGAGATTTGTAACATCAAAATGAACAGATGCGGAGTCTAAGGAGGTAAGAGTGGATGGAACAATCCATAAGCGATAGAAGCAAGCAATGGAAGAGGTCTGCATAGTAGTGATGCAACTGTGAAGTGGTAACTTCAGTAACGGCAGGTTTGGTGCCATGTAAAGTAACAAATTAAGTGTCCCGGTGAAAGCTCAAAGTCATTTTGGTGTAGTCAAAAGTGACAGGGCCCAAGCAGTGCAACCAATCAATGCCCAAGACGAT